TTAAAAAAGTATATCGTATTTTTTAAAGTTTATTATCTCTAGTGTTACTACGAAACTATGGCCTAGATATATTACTTAAGAAATATAAAACGACGCGCGTGTCTCTGTCCTCTGATATAAACACGGTGGGAGTTCGAAAAACACGAGAGAAGCAAGCTTAGGAACACGAGCGTAGCGAGTGTTTCTGTTGCTTCTCGAGTGTTTTTCAACGAATAATAGTTTAGAAGATATAAATAATGTAATAGGAGTGATTAGAGTGGATGAGTTGAAACAGGCCGAAATAGAAATGATGAAATACATGTAAACGATTTAAATACTTTAAATATGAATGAGACTTCTGAAAGAAATTATATGTTCCTTGAATGTAATTCTAAATAATTGTATCCATTTAATATTTTTTCTTAGCCACCCCCTCCATCCACCACTGACTAGCATCGGAAACATTTATTCTTACTTGTAGCTGTTGTATGGAACCCTCCAATCATGAATGTTAAAATGTCATCTTCAAGCTGTATGAAAACGGAGTATTAACAATAAACTCTTTCTACTGTATATCTTACAAATTGAGTAAAGTTAGCATGGATGCCACCAAGAAAACATGGATAAAGTGGTGTACAATGAGCTATTTCTAAACGTGATGATACAAACAAACAAGTATAAAATGTATAAACGAACAAATGAAGACTTCTAGCAAGATGATGAACTAATTCTGGAGACCCACATCCATGTATTCCTTCCTGTACATGCAAACTGGAGTGCACAGTCTGACTTGCGGTAATTAATCTAGCCAGTATAGTGATTGTACCTCCTCTTCATCAATCTGGTCACAATCAATCATTGAATCAATGAAGAGCTTCTCTKTCATTTCCTCAGAATTCTTTTGCCTAGATGCAATCAAGTTCTTTACAACACTACGCATGTACTTTTTGCCTAAAGATGAAAACAATTTTATTAAAATGTAAAGAAGAGAACATAAGATTTATTTAGTCCTTTGTACCTAGACACATTGGCTTTATCCTAATAGTGATTGCATATACTTTTATTTGTGATTCATCCCAAAATGCACACACATATTCAAGCAATTGRCTAAGGGACAGGAGATGGAAACAAAGCAATCCCCAATTTACATCCATCTCTTGCGAGATTTAAACATAAACTTATACAACAGCAAACTAGTAAAGAGTTCATATTTAAAGATAAGAGTTCAATGAACAATTGAAAACTTGACTTTTTTCGTGGTGGGTGCTTRTACTTGTATAGCTTAGCCCTGTTTTACAAAGTATTTAAACTGATTTAAATCCAGGAAGACAAGCCATTGAAACAGCCAAACCTACTTCCCCTAGAATTCTGTAGAGAGATTAACCTTGTCCTTGTTCTCTTCAAGTTTAGGGTTTGGCTGATCAGTGCAAACCTCAATGTTTTCTTGCTACCTGCTACCTTGACATATGCCAGTCAAAACTATRACCCTTAAACCTCCACTTTTCAAGTGACCACTGTAAGGGGTATTTCAACAACTCTTATTCTCCAAGAACTGTTAATCCGTGGAACAAAATAACTTCATGTATTTCATCAAACTCACCGTTAGAAATGATTTTTTGAATATTTTTGTCTCATTTAAATAAACTAAAAAGAATGGCACAGACCTTCTTCAAAAGCCTTTGCTCTGTCACTTCCTACTTCTGGTGGAGGAGTTCCAAGTTGTGACTCCAGTTCATTCCAGCACTGTATACAGCATAAACATAAACATAAACATGATTGGATTGTGACTGGATGGTGTTTGTGTTTTAATAATCACAACTTTTAGATATTTTTGTCTTCCTAGGGGTACATAAACATTATATGTACAAGTAGCCAACCTTTAAGCATACTCACTATGACATATGCATCAGAAAATCTTTTTATGTCTGTGTCATAACTGAAAATCTTGCCTAATCCAGCTTTGCCAATGCTTTGAATGGCTAAATTGAACATGCTTTCCATAACTGGAATGTGCTGTCCTTTAGGTTTGGAAAGCCAGTCTTTGGCCATTGTGTTTGCTGCCTGGAAAAASATTGAATTTCGAGTAGAGGATTTGTGAAAGTTTTGCATTATTTCATAATGGTCAGTTGCTACAGCTATTCCTTTATGATGTTTTTGGACTTGAACTGTAGTACACAGGTGATTTTGGGGGGGGGGACTCCCTAATATCAAAGGGCATGGGTCTTTTGGTCCCGCTTAGGGTGATAATGMCAAGAATTCCTAACAACAGAGTTTTGTGGTCCCTYTTAGGGTATACGGCAACCCTAAGCAGTGGGGAAACAAAAACAAATGGGAAACAAAAACAAAATGATCTGTTATTGATTCGTCCCTCTTAGGCGTGAAATTTCAGCACTCCCACGCCCATCATCTCACAATAGAGGTCAGTTTTCGGGGTCATTTTCGAATTTTCGAGGATCCCCACCCTTTGATATTAGTGAGTCCCCCCCAATCACATACACTTAGATTGTTCATATCACTGTGACAATCATATTTCATGTATATATTTGTGGTCTGGAATGGTGCAATAGATGTAGTAAATGAATGATCTTACCATTAATAAGTGAGGATCTCAGAAAAAAATCTGAGCTCCAGATGGGAGACATATTTGCGACTGTAGCATATTCAGTACATTTGTCATACATAACCCACACTTAAGGTGTTAGCTCACCATAATATGAGTCTCAGTAGCTCATTCAAGGCCAATATAGACCAATAGACTCGAATGGTAAATAGTCTAACTCCATTCGTCTCTATTGGTGGTCAATAATTCTTAATTCATTCTATGACAATAAGTCATTTGGAGTCAAAATCTGTTCATATTTCATTCGGAGCCAGAAACTGGTCAGATGGGATTCCTGTCTTAATTACAATATTTCTCCACCCCTACCACAACCTCCCGAGGTCACGAATAGATACCATTCGAACGRTTCGTATAAGATAAAGTCAACTAGTGTATACGGAATTCAATTGGTTTACATCAAAACAAATCATCGATCAAATAATCCATACATGCTTCGTTCATAAAGCCATCGGGCCAGAACAAGCCACTCTCTTAAAATATACGCTCGCAGAATATATTCATAAATCCAGATTTGCAATCATCCATTCATGCTTCGTTCATAAAGCCGTGATACCAAGTGACTCTCTTATGTTGACGGAAGATATGCAGACAACTTTTTACCTCTCTAAGGAGTGGTTGGACATCACTAGGAACTTTAAGCTGGAAGATGACGAAGAATTAGTATCTTTTGACGTGGTTTCTTTGTTCACGTCCATTCCGACAGACGTAGCAGTTAACGTGGCTACAGCGAGGCTTATTGCTGATGATGACCTTCCAGAGAGAACRAAGTTAACTCCAAATGATATCACTYGACTTATCAAATTTTGTTTGGATTCAGCGGAAATTCAATGGAATGGACAGTTCTATCGTCAGATTCACGGCACTGCCATGGGATCCCCTGTGTCAGTTGTTGTTGCCAATCTCGTAATGGAAGATCTTGAGACAAGAGCTATCGCAACRTACCATACACCACCATCTTTGTATCGTAGGTATGTTGATGATATAGCATGTGTTATAAAGAAAGCTGACGTAGAATCTTTCCATAAGCATTTGAAAGAACAAGACGATAACATTACTTTCACAGTTGAGCGGTATTCAGATGGAGGACTGCCTTTCCTGGGTTGCCTTRATTTGGTGAAAGAAAATGGTGCCATCCATGTTAGTGTTTACAGAAAGAAGACACACACTGACAGATATCTGGACTTCCACAGTCACCACCCTGTCCAGCACAAAGTTTCTGTGGTGAGAACACTATTTTCTAGAGCAGAGACGGTACCCTCATCTGAACCAAATACTGTAAGGATAGAGAGYGGAAAAACCCAACTACATCTCTCCACGAACAGAACGGCTGCCTGAAGCGTTTTCTCTCTAAGTACAAGAAATTCCATCAACGTAATTCAAGTCAACAGGATGAAGTCAAAGGTTATGCATCTCTACCTTATGTTAAATGTGTCTCAGAAAGAGTACAACGCATTTTACAACACCATAACATCAYGACAACTCTAAAACCAGTTAAATCACTCAGTCAAATACTATCGAAGCCTAAAGATACGATACCCATGAGCAAAAGAGCTGGCGTTGTMTACAATATTCCCTGTAAGGACTGTGCTGTTTCTTACATAGGAGAGACAGGGAGGGCATTAAAGACACGAACTAAAGAACATGAAACTTGCGTCAGATTAGGAAAGACGGAGTCTTCCACCTTATCTCACCATGCAAACAGCAACGACCATGACGTTGCCTGGGATGACATAAAGATCTTAGCAACAGAAAGTCGAAAGAATAAGCGTAATGGACGGAGGCATGGTTCATATCTAAGAACAATAATGTTTTGTTTAATAGACTGTGAACGCCTGTTACCAGASGTATATCGTCCCATTTTAACTCAAAATTAAAATATTATTAGCTTGTGTGTGAGYGCATCTGTAGCGCGCTCTATTATACACAATTCGGTCAAAACTTCCAAGTTTTCGTCATTCGATTCAAGTCCCAATGGACCTTTTGTGACAATTTGCCATAACAATAGAAATGGATAAGTGACATCATCTTATTTCATGTTGAGATCGATCAAGTTGAGTGGATATTTTTCAATCGCTGAGAAAATTAACCAGAACAATTTTTATGCATTAATGAAATAGAAAATATAAAATATTCTTAGCCATAATTTCAAGCTGATCGGAGAAAGGCCACACGACAAAAACATTTTTTTTAATTCAATTATAAACTACAGGGCAATTAGCGATATTAAAATGCCTTGTCTAAAAAATAGTATGATTTTAGAGTGTTAACGTCATTGATTAGAATTTAACAAATGCGATTTATAAGACCAGAAATTTCTACTTTATCGAAATTAACTGTTCATTTCGCTTGTTTTCTTCTTCTTCTTCTTCTTCTTCTTCTTCTTTTTATTATTATTATTATTTTCTTCTTCTTCTTCTTCTTATTATTATTATTATTGTTTTTTTCTTATTATTTGGAAACAGAATCACTTTGACCCCAGCGGTAAAAGATCACCAAAGCTCTCTATGTCATATGAAGGACGCTATGTAAATCATTCACAAATGGAATTCCATCGAGACGACCTGTATAACTGTACCATTGGTGAGACTGTTGAGGCCTCCTAGAAATGAATGCACRTGTCCACAGGGTTTCCGTATMTCCCCAAAACAGGCACAGCGTTTCTCAAACTGATCCCAGCGGTAAAAGATCATCAAAGCTCTCTATCTAATATCATTCACCAATTGAATTCCATCAAGACGAGCCGTATAATTCAATCACCATTTGTACCAATKGTACCATTGGTGAGACTGTTGAGGCCTGCTAGAAATGAATGTACATTTCCACAGGGATCCCATGTCTCACCGAAACAGGCATAGCATTTCTCAACCCTCTTTACAGGAGCATTCTCTTTCAGATTGGAAGGGAGAGCAAGGACTCAAATCCATGATGAGCCATACAGATGGTACCGTTGGTCATTTCGCTCCGATGATTTTTTCCTTTTTCATTACTATGCTGATGAAAAAATCAATCTGAAAGTTGCATGTGATAAAAATTGGATTAATGATTTTATTAATATGTAACCTTATTAACAAAGGGTAACAGTTTTCTTCATGAAATTTGGATCCTACCATTTTCCATTTAATAACCTTGGAGAAATCGAAAAAGTTGTCTGAAAATATCTTAGTCAACTAAAGTCATCTCTAATCTCAAATTCATAATGAAAACGACTTCACGAATAGACACCACTCGTAAAATACAAATTACGAATCGAAACAATTTGTGTATATTGGACAAATCTCTTTTTCTGAGCTCCTCACTTATTATTGGTAAGATCATTCATTTACATATTATCATATTAATTTTCACTTACATCAAAGTATATAATTTCTAAATTATGGTATTCAGCACTACTTGGTGGTAAGCAGTAATTTTGATTCGAAGCCATTTTGATACAAGACTATTTGATACACATTTGATCCACTCTATACACATTGCAAGTCAATCAATACATGTCATGTACATGTACAAGTGTTCAAGTGAAACTATTATTGAAGTAATGATGTCCACAATAACTTGCTTATCGGCTTGGAATGGAAAATCATGGAAAATAATGTAAACTCATTTTTGCTTCCACAGCTATACTCTCAAGCATTATGACATTCATATCACATTTTATGCAAGTCGTGGGTAATATTTGTGCTATTGGACATTTGAATGGACGGCCTGTTTTATTTGGAAGAAAATTGTGAGATCGATTTAAAAATCTGAATATATCACAGTACTGTATGAGGAAATGATTGCTTCAGATTATTGTTTAAGTTTAACATCGCTAGAGCCAAAGTCATGAGTTGAACACCAAATAAACAGTATTTTCCATATGTTGTGATCCACCTTTATTATTAACTTTGAAAGTTTTTTTTTCAGATTCCTGGGATGGCAAACATGCTGAATCATTGTCACCATTATGCTTTGTCCACCTTAGATTTGATCACTGAAGATGATTTCTTAGTTAATTAAAATAAGGTACATACCTCTTGAAAACAATTAAAGTAGTTCATAACAGCTTCATGGCTGAAACTTCTGTCAACAAGCTGCCTGAATTGTCGTCCTTTAATTCCATTTTTGTACTGAATACTTTTCTTACCAATCAGTGGTTCAAAAAGTTTGAAGAGTTCAGCTGAAAAAATATAAACATCTTTCATTGACAAATGAGAGAAAGATGTTAGCTATTTGCTAAAAAATTGGTGGAACATGGTTAAAGTAAGTGGTAAATATTTCCAAAAAAAGCATCAGGTACAAGCTGTTTAAAATTGCCTGGCAAATATCTTGATACGAACGTTTTACATTTACTATTGCAGTGGGGTGATAATATTCTAAACACTGAGAAGGCTTACAGCATTTTGCGAAATCAGTATTTTGCGAAACGAAACGAAATATTTCGTTTCGCAAAGTGCACATCTGCACTTTGCGAAATATTTCGCAAAGTGCTGATAATTTATCTGCATTTTGCGAAATATTTCGCAAAGTGCTGATAATTTATCTGCACTTTGCGAAATATTCGTATTATTGCTTAAAGTACCATATTGACAAAGTTTTCTATTCATACCTGCATATATTGGGACCATTTCGTGCCTTCAAGATCAAATAGGAGCTACTCTTCACGAGATTTGAAGAAGAACTAAGCGACGCGCAAATCGAAGACTATCCTCGATCCGGCGCCATTTTGTTTTTTTTCCACAGGAATCCAATTTGTTAAAACACAGGGTGACCAGAGAGGAA